TGGGCCATTCCCTCAGTGACCATTTTGGGACACATCATTTGCTCACATAATTATTCCACTGACAGCAATTATTTATTGTGATCCCACTGACCACCACCAATGTAAGAGGGCCCTCTATCACTGGCTACCAATGCCAGAAGGCACTTTACCACTAGCCACCAAGTAAGAAGGAACTTTGTCACTGACCATTAATGTAAAAGGCACTTCTCAACTGACCACAAAGGTACAGGGAAACAACAGTGACCTCTGCACAGAGCATACTCCAGACATATACATAATCACTGCACTCTGTTTGCTGTGCTTTCCATTAAATAATCCAAACCAAAACCTTTCTTAACCTCAACAGTTTCTGGTTTTCCTCGACTATCTTAGTGAAGTTCTCTTTTAAGGTATGCTCAGACAAAATGTTAGCTCTATGGCTTGAGTTTAAAGAAAAGCATCTATCATGTAAAATTTTCATTTAAAATTGATCCTCTGCTGCTGGGCTATGCTGGGCAAAAGAAATCTTACTTCCAACACACATCCAGAGGTGTATCTGATGCTTTCATCACCTGTTGGGTTTTGTGGTTCTTCATGCCAAATCCAAAAGCAATATAGGACACAGTAGTGATGTAGAGATCAATAATAAGAATCCCAGAGCATGGTGGGGGTGCAGGCAATCCGGCACACTCATATTAATCTCAGTTATGACAATTCTTCAGAGTTGCAAAGCTCCAAAGCAGCAGATTTCTTGAATGGAAGCCAGGCCACACACTTATAGGCAATAAATTACTAAAGTTAAATAGGCTGTTAACTTTGCAAAACAATTTTCCCCAGAACTTAGTGAATGATGTGAAGCTCTGCTGACTTCCATTATTCAATCATGTGTCAGCAAAATTTCAGCTTATGTATTTTTCTTGCATGTGATTAGGTATCCTTTGCTAGTTGAAATTTCACCACATTCAGTAAGCTCTGGGGCAAATTCCCTTGTAAATTGCAACTTCCCTTGCAAGGGGAACAGTTTATTTACCTTTAACCACCTCAATACTGGCCACTTTACCCCCCTTCCTGCCCAGGCCAATTTCCAGCTTTCAGCGTTGTCACACTTTGAAAGACAATTGTGCGGTCATGCAATGCTGTACCCAAATGAAATTGTTATACTTTTTTCACACAAATAGAGATTTATTTTGGTGGTATATATTCATCACTGCGTTTTTTATATAGCTTGCTAAATAAACAAAAAAGACCATACATTTTGAAAAACAAAACATGTTTTTCTTAGTTCATGTTATACAATTTTGCAAACAAGTAATTTTTCTTAATAACTGTTGACTAAAATTTATACTCCTACATTTCTTTGGTAAAAAATAATCCAAATCAGTGTATATTATTTAGTCTGTGTGAAAGTTATACAGTCTACAAGCTTTGGTACGTATCATTGAAAATTGATCAAGCCTGATGTACTAACAGCCTATTTCATTTCTTGAGGCCCTAACATGCAAGGACAGTACAAATACCCCCAAATTACCCCTTTTTGTAAGGCAGACAGTCCAAGGTATTTAGTAAGAGGCATGGTGAGTTTTTTTGAAGTTGTCATTTTTTCCCACAATTCTTTGTAAAATAAAGAAATTAAATAGTTTAGTTTCTTCTACAAAATTGTCATATTAACAAGTTAACAAGTCTCACACGGCATAGGCATACTTGCAATTACACCCAAAATACATTCTGCTACTCCTCCTGAATATGGCAATAGTACATGTTGTAACGATCGCGGCGTCAGACCCCAGCCCTTCTCACAAAACTCGCGACTGAAGGACTAGCCAATCTAAAACTGTGCTGTCACGTACCTAACAATGCCACGCCCTGTACCCTGCACAAAGATTTTCCAGCTAATCGACCACAATCTGTGTGCAGTCTGAGAGCGATTGTTACTGGGTCAGGTTAATTACGCAATGAACCCTTCACACTGCCACCACCTCCTTTTTGTACAGAGAAAGAGGAAACTTGGCAATATCAGCAATAACACTATGATGTTTGAATAATCGTTTGGATACACAATGTCACCGCAGACAGATGTATGCAGACGTTTAAAACACAGAGTAGCGCTCTTCAGAGACAGGGGTTCTTAGTTTGCATTAAAGAGCTTTAGAAGCAGTTCAACACTTTCAGAAAGTAAGATTTATTACTAAAAGGTCAAAAGGGTGCAATAAAAAATATTTACAGAAAAAGATGTAGCCAATATATATATATACATAAATATACAGAGAGAAATAACAAAGCAAAGAGATAACAGAAAGAAATTTAGGGAGGTAAAGTACTTGCCAAACGTCCTGGTTTAAGCAGATCAAGTTTCAGAGCAGAAGGGCGCCTTATCTCCCAAAGTTGGTTCCTGATGTTAAAAGGGAGATTTTTTCAACTTCAGCTCAACTCAGCTTAGCTTAGCTTTCTGCTCCAAGCATAACAGCTTTTCTAGGAACTCAGCAGGGTGTCTCCTTAAAGCAGAGAACCAATCACCTCATTTGGGAGGGAGGTGTGGGTGGAGACCCCAGCTAGAACAAAAATCCCTCCTAGCTTATATCATGGCCCATAAATTACCCTTGGTGCGTTTAGCAGCCTTGCCACTAGTAGATTAAAATGCAGACGCATCTGCTGAATGTCTAGATATGAAATATGACATACCTGCTGTGACGGTTAAGGAGATATCATTTTCTGCTCTCCTGTAGATGTCAGCTAAGGGGTGTAATATATCAGGCAACTTGTATTAAAGTGATCGATCTGAATTTATGCCTGGCTTTATGTAAGTCTTTCATATTCCAAGATATGAAATCATAGGGGAAAATGGATGTTGAATGTGATGTCTGGTTTACGACTACCTGGAATGTCTTTGAGCTCAGTGAAGGACTTGGTTTTTATGGCTTTACGATATCCCAGATTGAGAAGCTAACAGACATCTAGGCACCATCTAGGTTGGGATTTTATAACCCTGGAGCTCTCCCACTGAGCCTGGTTGCCTGTGATCTCTGCATCAAACAGACCACATGTCACTCAACAGAGAGGGAGGGGAACTTTGGAGAAGGAGAGAGAGAGAGATACAAGATGGAGGATCCTTAACAAGATGGAGGATCCTTATCAAGATGGAGGTTCGCATTCATCTCTGTGTGCACAATTGCTACACATGTGTGAGACTTTTTCACAGCCTAGCCACATAGAAAGGCACAAAATCCAAGGAGCACCTTCAGGTGTTCTAGGGACATCAATTGCACATCTACTTTGCTGACTACCTATCTCACTTTTGAAGACCCTGGAGCACCAAGACAATGAAAACAATCATAAAATGACTAAATTTTGTAAAGAAAAGACCCCAATGTATATTCTGTGAGGCATAATGATTTTTTTTAACATGCAATTTTTTCCAAAATGTGGAAAGAAAATTAAAAATGATTTTTTATACAACATTGTCAATTTATAGGATATTGCTAACAAACAGCATGGACATACTACGAATTACTCCCCGAAACACATTATGCTACTTCTCCTGAGTATGGTAACACCACATGTGGAGGACTTCTTTACAGCTTAGCCACATAGAGAGGCTTAACATCTAAGAAGCACTTTTAGGCGTTCTAAGGGCATATATTACACATCTAATTTCCTGAATACCTAATATATTTTTTGATGGCTTTGGAGCACCAGGACAATTGAAACACCCACAAAATAAGCACATTTTGGAAAGCAAACACCCACCTGTGGTTTTAGTAGTGCAGCTGTCAGCAGAAGATGAGTCAGACTGGAGTCTCGCACCGTCAGTACAAAGGAATGGTCAGGACAGCAAGCAGGAACATAGTCCATACAGTACAGGCAGCAGGCTGACAAGCAGGGAGAAGGCAGGAACATGGTCCATAAACAGGGCAGGGTCCAAGCAGCACGCAGAAGCATGGTCAGCGCAGGCTGCAGGCAGAGGCATTTTTGGCTAGGGTCAGATGGCAACAGACAGAATCATCAGGCTTAGAGACCTGGGTAGGTAAGACCTGGAGTTTTCTCCATTCTGAAAAATTACAGTACTCTAGAGCCCCTCACATACACTATATTGCCAATAGTATTGGATGTCTGCCTTTACATGCAGATGAACTTTAGTCCGTAGGGGTCAATATTGAGTTGGCCGACACTTTGCAGCTGTAACAGCTTCAACTCTTCTGGGAAGGCTGTCCACAAGGTTTAGGAGTGTGTCTATGGGAATGTTTGACCATTCTTCCAGAAGCGCATTTGTGAGGTCAGGTACTGATGTCGGACAAGAAGGCCTGGCTTGCAATCTCCGCTATAATACATCCAAGGGTTGGGTTGTTCTATAGGGTTGAGGGCAGGAATATGTGCAGGCCAGTCAAGTTCCTCCACCCCAAAGCATGGGGGAGCGTGAAATTGTACAAAATGTCTTGGTATGCTGATGCCTTAAGAGAGTTCCCTTCACTGGAACTAAGAAGCCAAGCCCAACCCCTGAAAAACAACCCCACACCCCAATCCCCCACCAAACGTTACACTTGGCATAATGCATTCAAGCAAGTACCGTTCTCCTGGCAACCCTCAAACCCAGACACATCCATTCCACTGTCGGACAGAGAAGCGTGATGCGTTACTCCATGTCTCCACTGCTCTAGAGTCCAGTGGTGGTGTGCTTTACACCACTGCATCCAAAACTTTGCTTTGCACTTGGTGATGTAAGGCTTGGATGCAGCTGCTTGGCCATGGAAACCCATTCCATGAAGCTCTCTATGCACTGTTGTTGTGCTAATCTGAAGGCCACAGGAAGTTTGGAGGTCTTTAGCTATTGACTCTGCAGACAGTTAGCGACTTCTGTGCACTGTGCGCATGCTGTTGTTCCCAGATGCTTCCATTTTGTTAAAATATTACTAATAGCTGACTGTGGAAAATTTAGTAGCAAGGAAATTTAATGGAAGGACTTATTGCACAGGTGGCAACCTATCATGGTACCACGCTTGAATTCACTGAACTCCTGAGTGACCCATTCTTTCACAAATGTTTGTAGAAGCAGTCTGAATGACTAGGTGCTTGATTTTTACACCTGTTGCCATGGAGGAGATTGGAACAACTGAATCCATTAATTTGGAGGGGTTTCACAATACATTTGGCAATATAGTGTACAAGAGAACCCCATGTTATCTTGAATCCCACCAATACAGTGGCAAGGCAAAAGATCAGTTCAGTTGGCAGGTAAAAAGTATGGTCGATTAACAGGCTGAGGTCAGTTCATGTGGAAGGCAGAAACGTGTTTGATAGTTCAGTTGGCAAGCAGACAACATTGATAAACAGTCCAGGGTCAGTTCAGGCGGCAGGCGGGGGCATGATAATAAACGGAAATAGCAGATACCGTACACTGGGAAAATATCTTAATTTCACTTACAGGTGAAACTCGAAGAATTAGAATATCATGCAAAAGTTCATTTATTTCAGTAATGCAACTTAAAAGGTGAAACCAATATATGAGATAGACTCATTACATGCAAAGCAGTATAGTTCAAGCCGTGAGTTGTCATAATTGTGATGATTATGGCTTACAGCTCATGAAAACCCCAAATCCACAATCTCAGAGAATTAGAATATTGTGAAAAGGTGCAATATTCTAGGCTCAAAGTGTCCCACTCTAATCAGCTAATTAAGCCATAACACCTGCAAAGGGTTCCTGAGCCTTTAAATGGTCTCTCAGTCTGGTTCAGTAGGAATCACAACCAGAAGGCATGGACTTGATTTTTTTTGTCAGTCTCATATTCAATGCAAGCACAATAAAACTTAAAATTCCTCCCCAGTGACAGCTTTCCACACAAACAGGTGGGCATACAATAAATTGGGATTGTTGGCAATGTATTGGTTGACATACAGATTACACTGCTCCACAATGAAATTCAGCAAATAATCATCAAAAAATAAATGAAAAAATAAACTGAGGGCCTAGCTGCGCTGTAAAGGAAGGGGAGGGGAATTGTATGTTCTGCTGAATTAGCGGGCAGCCATATGGGATTTATAAGCAAGTCTTGGAGGCTAATATGAGCCCTACTTCATTTTTGTAGACATGACACATGTGTGAGCCAGTGGTGTATGCAAAGGAGAGGAGGGAGCACCAACAACAGATAGGATATAGGAACCTATGGGTGATGTTATCGCTCCAGGCTTAACTGGGCTTAACTGGTCATAGTCAAGCATTTTCTCTACTTCCCTGCAGCTACCGCTGACTGAAACTGGAGATCATGTGACCAGACGAGCTGAGAATAGGTAAATTTATGGTTATTACTTGCCTTGTCCCGGGCGCCGACAACCCATGCTACGTCACTGACTGACAGCTAGTATGGGAAATTTCTGCCTGTACTTCTGTCACAGGGAGAGGGGCCAGCGGGCTGCAGCATTGGGAATATGTTATACTGTATATACCACCATAGAAAATGGGTGGAACATGTAACATGTTCCCAAAGGTGAAATTATCCTTTAACTACCACCTTAATCAGCCACAGAACCTGTATAATTAATATGTGTTCGGTTTTAAAGGACTGAGGGGCAACCCTAAGTTTGGGCCATGTGGCCCACGTTTGCTCAGGCATGGCGGCCTATTCATTTAAATTGGCTGATGTGCCACGTGTCCCGCACACAAAAGGTGCATGCAGCTTTTTAAAAACACGAACCGCAATCATGCTGCTGGCTGAGATTTGTGGGAGTACCATGCAGAATGAATGGTGGCCCTGCACCTTGCAAGAGCAGCACGATTCAGCTGCAGGTAGTTGCTGGTGCGGGAATCAATGCGATTCCTACACCCGCAACCAGAATGCACAGTGCAGGCTACTGTGAACCTAGCCTAAATTGTGATCTCTTCTGTTAGCTAAGTGATGATTCACATGAGAAGTGCAGTAACCCGAAACAAATAACTAGATTTCGGTTTAACTAAGATCAGATCAGTAAATCTTTCATTCTGATTTGTTCAGTTACTAAACTTTGTATATTGTACTTTAATTAATATGTTTTTTTTAAATTTATCTGAGATAAAGCAGGATTTTAGTGCTAAAAAATATACTGAAGGTTTCTTCTGGTAAGCAATTCTTGGTCCAATAATGAGTAGTAAGTAATGTGAATTTTAACCAGTTTTACAATATTTTTATACTTTACTGCAATACATTGTTTTCAGCAGCCTTACAATTTAGTTAGCTGTAGCTTCAAGGAAAAATTGTTGAATGTAGACTTGTAAATTAAGTTTTGCTTCTGCAAGAAAAAAAAGTACCCACAGATTCAATAACGTTGACATTTAGATTCTAGAATGTTAGCTATAAAATAGGAAGAACGGTTCTATTTTTTATCCCTAAAATTATTGGAACATATTTTATGGAACAAAAGAAAAAAAAGTCTTATACGACAATATTTCCATAAAAATTCTCTTAGAACATTATTTAATTAATCCTTTAATACTTGTGAATTTTTTATGCGTATGCTACTTTGTAATTAACTTGTGTAATTAACTTGTGCTTATATTTATTGAAAAATAGTTAAAGCAGCCCTTTCCTTTGTAAATGTTTACAGAATTGACAGCTAAATATAAACCATTCAGCTTATAAACAACTCAGCACATAATTAGTGAGTATCAACTCTGCCCCAGTATGCACTTAGATACCCTGTTGTTAGCCCACTGGATGTCACCATCTTGCCTATCACACAACATAGAGAAGATGTACCATGCGTTCAACTACAGTCTGTATGCTCACTTTTTAAAAAAGATAACACACCTGGAAAAGTATACTTATTTTCAGAAGTGACTGTTATTTTCAGCCCAGTCTGATGAGATTTGAAAAACACAGTCACATGGTCTTGAGAATAGAACAGAATAGAAAAGAATAGAAATCGTTGTGAATTGAGTTATCTGCATCAAATACAGATTTGGTCTTCTTGTGATAGTAATGTTGCACTTCTTGCTGTGTGCAACAACAGTCAGGCGTATGGAATAGAGACAGAGATGGGGTGAATTTTGACTTTTGATTTGGGATTTTTGTGCCATAATAATTGTAATCTGCATAACTGCACGCAACATAGATAATCATGGCAGCTGCAGAGAAATTATGGTTTTTGGATAAAATACTTACAGGTTTTGCTAGTACCTGGACCCCCAAAGATGTATTTTTAGGCAAAACACCTAGGACAGAGCTTATGGGCAGTGATGATTGATATCATTTTTTTTTTATCAGTGTATCAGCTGTAACATCAATTTTTTTTTAATAAACGTTTTTAATTGGATTTTTGAGCTAGTTTAATAGCTGCTTTTGCCCATATTATCTGTGACATTGGAGCAATTTTTTTTTCATTTTAAGATTTCCAAAAACATATTTGTCCCAAAGATATTGTGAGTTTGTGGATTGCTTTAATTAAAACACAAGCCTTGGCAGGTAACCTATAGTAATGGATTGAATTCACACAAACTCAAAAATAATCTCTAATTTTGTTTATGGCTACGCTACAATTATAAAAGTCACCCATGCTTCTCTGTCTATTTCAAGGTGGGTTACAGCACTTCCTGCTAAGTCAAAGATCTCTATCTGGGGCACGTTATTGACCCTTCTGAACTTACACATACTCCTCTTTCAGCTATATTCTCCACTATCTTTTCTAATAAAAGATCAACAGATCTAGGGGTCATATTAATTTCCCATCTGAAAATCCAGTACTGACCTCAGTTACCTCCTTCATAGATATAGAAGTCCTGCATGTAAATTTCAGAAGAGATGCCACAACAGATGCCATGATATGAAATCTAACACAAGGCTAAAGAGTTCCAAAGCTGGACTGAAGATAGTGAATGTACCTAACCCAGCTGTAACTTCCATCTAATCCTCACCAACGGTTTTGCGGATGCCATGGTAAATACCAGCGCCTCCTAGTTCTAGACTTTGCTATGTGATAACCATTGGAATAGATGCTAGATACACTCAACCTGCCTTGGAGTTTATTCTGTAACAAATAGTTTCAGAATAAACAAATAGTAAAAGGTAGAAGCGCATACAACAAGCTTCAGGGAAACATCACTGCCTAAGTGTTCCTGAGGTAATCCAATTAGGCAGTAGGGTATTTATTGGCAATTTCATCAATGGCTGTGTCAGGAATGGACTTGCCACTGGTGATGGGACTCACCTGCCTTGTGGGCTGCAGTACCAGTGCTGGCCAGCGGGTGCTCTCAGCAGCCAGAATCTCACTCCTGCAGTCAAGCCATCACCTGAGGCTGATTGCAGGAGGTGTATTTAAGCAGGACCAGGCCTGCATTCAGTGCCTTGGTGTATTGTTCCCTGTGCCTGAACCTGAGACTGCCTTTCTTCCTTCCTTCCTTCCTTCCTGATCCCTCTGCCTGACTCCTGACTTTGATAGAACTCTACCTGAACCGACCTCGGCTATTCCTGACCACTCTCCTGCCTGCTCCTCTGGTACCTTGTCTGCCTGATTGTTCTGACCCGGCCCGTCTGACTACGCTCTGCCTGCTCCTTTGTACCTTGTCTGCCCGATGGTTCCTGACCCGGCCTGCCTGACCACTCCACCTCACCAGCCCTGACTACTCTTGTCTGTGTGCTTGTACTTTCCGTTATCAGTTGGAGGTTTGGTTTTGTTTATATTGTGCGTTTATATTTTTGTATAGCCTCTAATAAATTATATTGTTTACACCATATTTGAGCCTGCCTTCCCCTGTGTTAGCTCACACACCTCTGGTCATACCTGGAGCCCTGACAGGCTGGTTAGCGACTTCATTGATTGAGGGGTTGTATGGAATATATTGGACCTTGATCATGCCAAATCCATTGGTGTTCCATTTAATATTTTCCAGTCCTATAAAAGTTGCTTTTGTTTTTTCCCTGCAGAAGTGAACTGTGGATTATAAGACACCTGATGATGATTGCAGTGTATTCTGAATCTATAGTGCTCACCATTGCTTAATACAATCCAAAAGAAAAGCTGCATGCCAATTTTTGTCTTAACAGTCAAAACTTTATTCAGTCAACAAGCTTTCTGCCCTCAGGACCACCAC